GGCTTCGCCCCTGGACCCTACCGAGGCTTCGCCCGTGGACTCCATGCACGAATCACTGAATCATTAAACTTTTTTACGAATTTTGGGCCTGGCAGGATAAAAAATAGTATGTGCAACATAGGACCAAAGTACTACATTTCTGTCCCGGGTATTTGCCACCCTCGCCTTCGGCTCGGGTGGCAATCCCATACCCGGGACAGAAAGTAGTACTTTGGTCCCATGTTACACAATATACTATTAAAGTTAGTCAACATTTCATCTGGCACGAGTAATTCCAACAGTTCCAAGTACTATTGGAAGAAAATACTCGATCGTTACTCACAAAATGTATCGAGCTATTACATCTGTGAGCAATGTAATAATTATCTTGGTCCCGAGAAAGATTGTCCGACTGAGTGTGGTGAATGTCACAAAAAAATCGACTTCAAAGTAAGCAAGGGATCGTTTTTACATTTACCTTTGACAGATCAGCTCCGGGAGATATTTGAGACAACTGATGCTCATTATTTGTACTGAATCAACCGTGAGAAGCTGAACAAATACGCTATTGAAGACATCTTTGACGGAAAACTGTACAAGAAACATCTTGAATGATACTATGATATCAATCAATTTCAGTGTCGATGGAGCGCCAATGTTTGATAGTTCAAATACATCCGTGTACGCTGTTCTTTGTACTATCAATGAGTTGAATCCGCATGATCGGCGCAAATATGTTCTGTTGTCCAGTGTGTGGTTTGGGGTGGGAAAACCCAAAAATATGAACTCTTACCTGAAGCCATTCGTGGAAGGAGCCAAGACGCTACTAGGAAAAGGATTCACTTATAATTACACCGGCACACAAAAAAAAAAAGTTGTCTGTGCACCGGGCGCCACCTATCTACGGGCATGTTTTTCGACCCGCTGAACACGAATTTCAAGTCAGTTTAGGCCGTCCGGGCTTCAATTTCGAGTAAATTGCAAAAAAACCCAAAAAAATAGCGAAAATTCGATATTTTGGCAAGATAAAAAATTTTGAGATCTAAGGCTAGCATAATTTTCATGTATTTTAATTTGTTAAATACTAATTTCGATCGTACTTTAATTCTAAACCGTTTTGAATCTAAAAAAATTGTAAAAAATCCTTAAAAATTGCAAAAATCGTGAAAAATTGGGATTATCTTGGTACAAAAAATTTTGTGGACCCGGATTGACGAAGATTTTCATGTAATTTAGTCTGCTTGATCTGATTCTGCAATAAATTTGGCCCATAGTCCCCTGAAACATTCATAAAACTGCAGAAAACCGATAAAATAGCAGAAAATTGCTGCTGAAAAAATGGAAAAAAATTTTTTAAACACAATTCAATAAATTTCTTGAATTTTTTATTTCCAAAATACAAGATTAAGATCCAAGAATGTACACAAATTGAATTTTTAACGGTTTTTCGAGGGTATTGTACGGTTTCATTCTCAAGTGATCTACGATGTGGATACCTGTTTTTCCACCTTTTCCTTTATTCAGTAAAAATTTGTTATCGTGTTGGAATTTCAACTTCTTCGAAGTGCAGACTTCATTTCATTGCATTCCCCATGAAAAAAAAATATAAAAAATATATATTTCGAAATATATAAAAAATATATAAAAAATATATTAAAAATCTATAAAAAATATATAAATATATAAAAAATACGTATAAAAAATATTTTTTTAATAACTACTTTTTGGCCGATTTTAATTTATATTTTATATATTTCAAATATATTTTAAATATATTCAAAACATATTTTTTTTATATTTTTAGCTATGTATTTTTTATGTATTCCAAAATCGTGGCACGTCTGTTCACCCGAAGACAGCTCACCCGACGACAATTCACCCGCAACATTTCACCCAGGGAAAATTTACCCTTGAACCACATTCCCCAAAACACCATGTTAAACGGGCGCAACATGATTACCCGCGTTTGTGTTGGTCTAATGTCGAATACACACAAAAACCATGTTAAAAGGGCGCAACACGATTACCTGCGTTTGTGTTGGTCTAATGTCGAATAAACACACACAAAAACCATGTTAAAAGGGCGCATCACGATTACCCCCATGTAAAAATCTGATAATTTAAAAAAAATTCTAGATTTAATCCAATTTTCATTGAGGGTGTAATGCCGTTGGTAAGTTGATGTGCGGTTGAATTGTCGCGGGTGAATCGTCGTCGGGTGAATTGTCGCGGGTGAATTGATTTGCGGGTGAAATGTCGCCGGTGAATTGTCGCGGGTGGAATGTCGTCGGGTGATTTGTTA